CTTCAAAGACGCCCGCCATGTTCCTCGAATAATACAGCATCGCTCAGGTCGTTCTGGTGTTCGAATTCTATCCGTTTATATTACGAATTTATACAACAAGGAGTATTGACGGTGTATTAATCATTTTTATGTTCTGTGTTATCTTATTGGTTGTTTGAACGATCATGAGAAAAAATTATGCATGAAAGATGTCGATAAGAATCAAAGGAGCAGCGTCTTATTGTTGTCACGCAGGTGTTCGAACAAGGTGCACCTCGCCTCCAAGAAGCTGTGAGAGTGAGAGTTGTCTTCCCCCACAACCAGAAGTCATCCTCACATAAATACCAAACTCAACATGATTCCTAAATCCTATTTGTGAGACTGTGGACTACATTAAGCGATAAGAAAATGATACTTGGGTTATATCCATTTAGGATTTCTTGGGTAGGTGAGAGCGGAGGATTGCCAGCCATTGTGCCTGAGGAAGGAGGCCCGGTAGTGTTGACAACACCTCTAATCCTTTAACTTCAACGCCATATATTAAATGTGATATACAAATTTGCTGATAAATATAAATGTTCTATTTAGAATGACATTTTAATCAAGATTTTGGAGAAATTTCTTTGCCTTAAGGCAATTTATTTTTTTGTTAGACAGGCACGGTCAAGCGGCACGTTATTATGGTTTTGTTAGGATAATTTAGTTATAAATAAATTCACAAAGTATCGTTTCACGCGGAGTAAGAGTTAGTAGTAGCGCGGGCGGGCTGTGTGTCGCACGGTCCACCTCCTGATTGCTTTTCACATGTGGCTTTATACCTGTCTCTGACTTGTGGAAGTTAATTTTTAAAGGTGGTTGACACTTGCGACAACTTTCACATGTGTTGACACTTATGGTTCCCTGGTACTATTTATCAGGCGATTGTGTCCTTGTTAGCGAGTGTTGACAACATACACTCACTTTTTCTTCTTGATGTGTTTGGCGGAATATACACCTGGGGACGGGTTGAAAGTCTTGGTGACCCTGAAAGTAATTAAAAGAGTAGTTGGTGATCATTGGTGCCGACCTGTTATGAGGAGTGTCTGGGCTGTGGAGCGTAACTTCTGACGCGTCATTTCCCGCAGATGGCCAGCCTCCCCCTTGGGGCACAAAGACTACTCGTACTCATTCTTGGCCTCCCATTCTCCGTCATCATCCTTCCTTTTTCCTCTTCCGGTTCTTCCTTTTTTAGCCCATTTGTCGTGTTACCATGTCTATAATTTTTAGACTGCAAAAGTCTTAGGCGATAGTTTGTTCCGTCATCATCATCTAGTTTAATGTTATGCACTGCTACACACATCTTTGTATAAATATTGTGCCTCTTATCTCTCTTCCTGCCCGTCTCCCCTTCTCCACTCTCCCACGCCCGCCTCCTGCACCTGTGCCGCCTCGTCAGGAAGGTGAGTCACGGAAGAACCTGCCATGACGCAACGCCCCACCATGGGGGGAGGGAGGGGGGGGGGTGGGGTAGGCCCACTCCCCAAATGTCATTACGGTTTAACTGAAGTTGAGAGGAGTCGTGCGACAAAACGGGAATTTATTATTTCTATCCCCAAATGATTTTATAAAGGTAGATGGTTAAGTCTTTGTATTAGTATTGGTATACAGGTATATTTTGGTCGTAATGACATAGAACAAGTATAAACAGATTTTTTCCCCCCCCATGGGCGAGAAAATTATTGAGCAGGTCTTCCTTCCTTCCTGCATCCTGTTTGTGTCTCGTCTGGAGATGACTCTCTATCAAGAGTGTTGGGGCGTGGCTGCAGCCAGTCACTTCCTGCCCTCGTGAGAACACCACCTGCACCTACCTGTTGCTTGTTCACACCCCCCCCTTCCCCACACCCACCAGGCCCTGTCGCCCCACTTCCCATTCCACAGTGGAAAGGGGTCCAGCTGCCATTGTTCCGGTGAATGGGTGCCGCTGTCCACTGCACACACATCACCTCCTGGTAACATTTACTCTTCCGGCGGAGGACCTTTACGTCAGAGAACTACCTCGCCTGAGTGTGGGTGCCCTCCATTGTCCCCGGCCAATCACACAATCAGGGAAACCAGGTCTTCCGCTTGTCTCTTTGGTCGCTCCCCCTCTATTACAGACCAAATCACATTTTGGACACGTGTATTTATTCTTCTCCTCGTGTTCCTTCCTTCCCCTCCTCTTGCCTTCCTTGCTCGTCCACCGCCCGGAGCGAGGAACAAGGGGAGGGTTGAGAACGGGCGCCGACCCCCTTTCCTCGAGGTCACTCAGCAGCTCCTCAATGTTTGCATTCTATAACCTTGTCGAAGTGTGCATGTTTGCGGGGCGACGGTGCGAAGATGCGTGTTTGTGGTGTAAGGCGAACCGACGCGTCCACACAGTGAAACCCCTCCTCCGCCCCTCACACCTTGGCCATGACCACCACCTGCCTCCCTCCCAGGAATTGTTATGATAAAGGGAGTCGTAAGGAACCAGGGAATTAGTGCCGTGAGAGGAGGGAGGTGAAGTGGCAAGGCGGGGCACTGCAGGCGGTCACTGCAGGAGGGTGAGGGGACCGGCCACTTAGGACAGGGTCGCCACATCTGCTGGGAGACCCTCTACTAAACAAGCCGCCTCTTCCTTCTTCCGCTGCTGGTCTGCTAATTTAACCCTTCCTTTGGTTGGTTGAGGACAGTGGAGTGTTTGGTAGCCGCGTTACGCAAATGTTTGTTGTTTGTTTACTAGTTATTTGGCCGTCTAAAAAACCGGAAATGCCTGGAATGATTACACAAGACATTATAGACATACACACTCAATTATTTCCATATATCAAAAGATGAAAAGATGTCTTAATGTGTGTGATAAATAGTAAGTTGGTCAAACTATAACTCTGGGGTGTAGGAAGACATGTGTTCGAATATTATGTATTATAACTTTATAAGTTTTGGTTAAAGGCAGCCAGCTGGTCCTCTGCTATCATGACGTTATTGTGGTGGAGGGAGGCGCAGCCATCACCACCTCACGTTCACCAACAATCTACCTTCCTCCTCAACCTTGTTAACTCTCTCTTACCCTCCCCCTGTTTAGTGGTTTAGCAACGTATCAAAGGCTACAAGATACACTAGATATCATATATCACTCGTTCGGCGATTTCCTGCCCACATGACCTTTCTGTTTTCCCGTCTGACTGTGTCCGTATCCTGTGGTAGTGTTCAGGAACCAGCCGGTAATTTGATTCGCTTGGACAGTTCGTGACCTGAGATCTCAGATTTAAGAAATATGACCTAATCTCAGCAGATACGCTTCCAAGAGGTCTATTTATGACAAAGGATCATATGTAAAGGGGAGTTGTGAAATACACACACCAACCTTGGTATAGGTCAAGATGAGTCGATCCGTTTATCCCAGTGCGAGGTCAGGAGTTGTCTGACCTGTCCCATTAATACATTTACCTTTTATTCTATTAAGTTTGTCGTCTATGGTGAGAATTTTTACAGGTTCTTGCAAAAGAAAAAAGAAAGGCAGGTTTGGTCGATTACATAAAATTAATTAGTGTAAAGTGATGTTAGCAGACAGCTATTCTGTATTTAGATATATCATGAACTCTACAAGTTCAGTGTGTGTTTACTTCTCACTTCGGGGTATGTGTGTGTGCGTCACCCTCCCTCACAAGCGTACCGGTACACTTAAGGACTCAACATTACTCACTGTTCAACATGTAGCCCAACAGAAGTGCAGCAGTTAGTTTTTAGCATAACAAACCTTCGTGAAAAAAACACGTGTTGGCATCTCTGCCTTGACCTGACTTGACCCACGTAGAGCAGGGCTGGGCGGGTGACCTTACGACCCGGCAGCTGTCTTTATGTTTGACCCATTAACAACTGGTTCTTCAGTAAAATTGTCCTCACCCGACCTTATCGGAGACTCATAATGGCAATGCATATGTGAATTTGATACTTGGGTAACGACGAAGGTTGGGATTGTGTGTGTGCGACTTCGATGGACTGCCATAAGCTAGCAAGTGTGTGTGTGTGTGTGTGTGTGTGTGTGTGTGTAGGAACTGGCGTAGATAGCGACCTACAGTGTCCCTGACGTGTCCGTGTCTGGTGTAATTATAATCGCCTGGATACTTGGCTGACCTCGGTGGTTTTGCGGATATTGGCAGCATCTGCTCTCACACAAACGAGTTATTAGCGAACTGTTTTCACTAACTGTCCCTAGCTCGTCAAAAAGCTATTAATGATAAATTTTACCGCCCTTGTTATCTTCTGCAGCCGCTGTTAGAAGCTGTAAAGTAACAATAAAATTTAGCAACATGTTCCTATAGGTCTGGTTGGGCTTTAGTGACGTTTTACTCTCCCGCTGTGAACACTAGAGCGTATTTTACTCAGTGTGCCCAACACAAACCCTCCTGCGTTTATTCCTTTTCAGGAGTGAATATGATTCTCCTTTTTTTACGTCGACTACATCTCCAGCTCCTTTAAGCCTTTCTCGCCTTTTTTACCTACCCGGCTCCCCCTTTGGTCGCTTTTATTTTCCTAAACGGCAAAATTGGTACCTGTACGGCACATAATCATAACCCGTCATAGGTTGATTGTGGTAGAGGGCGCGCGGCGCAAGTGGTCCCCAGGGCAAGAAGGGCTGGCTGATCCTCCTTCGACCCTGCCGCCCTTGTCCCTGTGAAGGGCTGCACTAACCGTAGGCCTAGCGGGCCACCAGCTGACGTGAGGGGTGGTGCTTCTGGCATTTTTTTCATCGTCGGGGCGATTGTAGCAAGCAGTGGTGAATGGCAGTGGAGGTGTGGTGCCTCCATAGCTGTCCACATGTTTGGACCTCTACACAATGCATTTTGGATGGATAATTTGAGATGTAGGCGTGTGTAGTGTATTGAAGATAGTCGTCACCCTCCCCTTATTTCGCTCAGAACTAAATGTTAAAAGGTAACAATTTTATTATATCATGTTAGCTCGAGTTTCTTTGCATTAACACAATTAATATTTATATGTATTTATTTTTATCTTTCCAGCAATGGGAACTTCTGTTGCTGTCTAAACTTGGGTGGGACTTGTCGCCCATCACGGCGTGCGACTTCGTGGACCATCTCCTCCGTCGGGTGTATCCTGTGGGGCAAGAACCCATCGTCAGAAGACATGCCACCACCTTCGTCGCATTGGTTGGCACCGGTGAGTAGCCATGGTGCTTTTAACTCATAAATTTACCCAGATCTATGGATATGAGTGTCACGCAAGGATAATTACAAAATCCCTTGATGGTTGTGTTTATAGTGTCTCTTGTGGAAACTACACATTCAGAACATCAGTACCAAGTCCATCATATTCTGCACCCGGCCGTCCCTGATGCGTTCTTTGCAACATTGCCTGTAAGTCTAAGTTACAGTGGAACACGCAGTTATATGAAGATAATGATGGTGTACACACCCATGTTTTGAATGTGTAACTTCTTCATGGGAATTTGTAAACACAAACACCAAGCCATTTTGTAAATATACTGTATTACATGTGATGTTCTGTTTATATTTACATAATATAATGTTTGGAGGTAAGTAAGCTGATAGCGCCGCCACAGAGCCCTTGAGAGACAAAAACACCGAAGCCTGTAGAGTTATTCCGGACGGCTCTGGTACACCAGATAACTAGTGTTGGGCTATGTTCATCACCGTATGTTAATCTGTTATCATCTGGGATAGCGAGTGTCACCGTGTTAAGTGGTGCGCCACCGTTTTGTGTTAACAGTGGAGGCGAGACCACTGATAAACAAAGCCTCGGGCAGCTGCTGGGATTTCGGAGCTTATCTACGTGTTTTGTCACGGCTCAAGTTTATTGTCCCTTGATATATTATTAGGCAATACTCATTATAACCAAAAAATCCCCACTGGCGCACGTGGGTCCTTTCAACTGTGGACGGGGCGCGGGGTGACCACTTTGCCTGGGGTTTTACTGTGGTATATGGGGTGGAGGCTGTCCAGTGTCCATGCTTGCTGTGCTGTAAGTTTGTCTGATCGTTTCCCGAGTGTAGTTAAGCTTACGGCTGCGATTGTAATTCTGCAAATTGACCATAATCTCCAAGTCATTATATAATTTATTGTTGCATAAACACGTTGATGTTGCTGCGCAACACCACCCTCCCGAACGAATTGTTTGGACCCTCCCGATCGATCAGCCAATGAGAGTTGAGCTCGTGACATGTGTCCGGTCCTGTGGTTCCCCCGTTTTATGAGTTCTCTCTAAAACAAACACATCCCTTTAGTAGTATATAGCGGGACACTTCAGAATTAACATTTATCAATATAAAGGCACAGGATAGCGCCCTGAGCATTTTTGTATTTCGTATTCGTTTAAATATATACTACATGTAGGCACCCGCTCCTGGCGCGTTCCACTGACCAATCCGCGCTCAGGAACCTCCAGCTGGCACCCGCTACGGGCCAATCAGCGTGCGTTTAGCCCAGCAGATGGACGTGAATACAACCTATCAAAACTGGCCGGTGTCCTATAGAACTTACTCCCGGCGGCTGGTGGATTTTATATGGGACAAATGCACTTATTGAGTGTAGTTGATTGCACGATAACAACTATTATCGTGGTACAGTAAACGACTCGCTGAGACCTAGAATCTTCACGCATGAACTGACGTGTAGGAGGAGACGAGGTACGACATGCCTGGGAGCACCCGCAGTGTGATGCCCCACGGCAGATGTGGGCTGTGTACCCTAGTGTAGGCCAGTTCCATGTGTGTATTCAGAGGTATTGATGGGTGACGGACACTGTGAGTTGGGACACCTGAAGTTCAGAAGTGTGCGGGACCCTGACGACCTACTGGCTGGAGTTGGGTTACACTCGCACAGCCTCTGCTATTAAACCCTTGTTTGCACAGTAAAGTAGCCTCATGTAGCGTACAATATCTCCAAAATTTTCCTGTTTTTATTTCCTTGTGAATGAGAAAAGGAACATTCACACATCGATGTACAAATGGCGCTTGGCAAATACACTCTTTAAATAAAAATCCCGTTCCTTGACGAATGCAATTAATTCTCCTTGTGTGAGGGATAAGAAGTAGTAGCCCCTCACCAAAAGGGAGATGGGAAAAAAACTCACCACCGTAGTAAATAAATGCAGGTTAAAAGGAAAAAAAAACACACATTAGAAGACAATTTGTTCGGGTTGACAGGGTGGGGTGGAGGGAGGCCATCTTAACTACAGTGCACGGGACAGTGAAGGTGAGGCCGGGCACTGCTGTTATCCTACCGGTGCTGATGGTATCTGAATTTAGAGATTGATGTTGGCGTTTACTCTTAGTTGATGAGTGATTTTGGGTTCAGAATTAGGTGACGGTTTTGCCTTCCATTCTCGTTTCAGGAGACTAGACTGAAGAGTACAAAGCATTATATTACACCAAGTCCTGTGTTACGACCATTCATTCTATAAAGTTACTTCTGTTGTGTACAGTTGGAGTCTTAGGAGCGTTTAGAGGGACCCTGTATTAGGACTGTGACGTCGGTGATGCACCTCTTATGCGAGGCTTAAAAACAACTTAGGTAAAAAAAAATAACAGGTTGTGGGACGTTTCCTCGGGCCGCCGGTCAATGCTTTCTTGTGTGTAAACAGTTCGGGGCAAATCCCCCCGGGAAAGGCGATAAACAACCTTTTCTGTAGATTTTCTTAGTCGTTGGTTTCTCACTGGAGTTCCTGAGGTCCTTTACAGTGGGCGTGATCTTGTTATCTTCTTTTTTCGTTGTATTTTTTATGTCTGAGGAAAGGGAGGGTGTGGCAGGAATGGTAGCTCCGGGTTTAAGGAAGTATTTGTATTCTCCTTTAAAAGTAAAATTCCCATTTTTCTCCTTGTTCGTCTCGATAATTCACCCCCTCAGCGCCCAAAACGCGGCCTATAGAAATTCTTGCAATCCTCCCTCTTCTTTGTCAAACTTTTTATCACCCCCTGCCCTTTCTGCCCCGTTTAGCCATGCTCCTCCTGTGCCCTCTTTTTTTTTTCTTGCATCTCTCCAAAGGGTCATCGTTTATTTAGTCCCCGGGGTTGTGGATTGTACCATTCGTCAATTAGCATTTGAATATATCCACCAAGTTGGGTCTAGGTTTACTATTCTCTCTGCCCACACTTAAGCAAGGCCAAGTGAAGGCAGATATAATGTGTGGCAGACTAGTCTTGTAGTTATCTTATCTAGGGCAGACTGAGGTCAGGGATTTGACTCAATAGTTGACATCAGGATCTAGATACGTCCAGACGATAACATTTCAATTGGAATAAAAGCAAAAAAAAAGTTAAGTGTAGAAATAAGCAAATGCTTGGGTCATGTCTGCTCATTCACATCTACACACCTGGACAGACAAACAGATAGACAGATACCTCGTCCGACAGTGGTGGGTCCTTAGAAAAAAATGAGAGCAACAAGCAGTATAATTTGCATAAAGTAGAAGCTAATTGTCTAGCTGATGGTGGTGTCGCGGGCCGGTATCCGGCCGGGCCCGCTCCCACCACCTAATGGCCGTGTCACCCTCGGTTTTATGCCTACGAATTTATATAGACTTTTAAAGCCATATACATCACGGGAGTTGTATAGGCCTAGGGGTAGTTGCCGGAGCGAGTCTCTCAAGCGTTTGTGTTGAGAGCCAGCAATAAACTGCAATGAAAAGGTGACCAAAGGAGGCCGTGAATAGGTGCCTCGACAATTTTTTTTCGGCTGGGCAGGCGGTGGTCTCTCACACAGTGCTAATGGTGTATCAGACTCGCCTGTGACTCACTAACACCGTCTTCACACTTCCTGGAAACGTTTCGCGTGGTTAGACAGTGAAGGGTGTCGTTAACTAGTAAACACAGTATAGCAACTGTTGGTCGACGGCTAACATATACTATGTGTGGCAACTTTGAATGTCTAATAATTAATAGAAGCTACCAGCTGATTGAAGATTTCGATTTGCTCATAGGAGTATGACTACAACCGGAGCCTCAGCTGTCTACACTTCCAGGCGACTTTCACGCCCTCTCTCTCATCTTTTATGTTCCCGACATTTTGGGTTCTCTTATCTTCTGTCCGCTACCGGAGACCCGTCCTTCCTACTCCTGCCCCTGTGTTTTTTTGGCTCCAGGAAGTAAAAAAAAAAATAGTACATTTCGTGTCTGTAATTTTTAAGACTATATTTTGATAGTACTTGTCTAAAATATGATTGTCAAATCCCAAACTTCGTTCTCAGAACTCTCTTTTAAAACAGTTGGTGTTTCACCTCTCTCCCTCTCCCTAGTTTCTTCGTTCTTCCCACCCCACACCTTTCACCCTCCCCTCTCCTCCCTTCCCACCCCTCCACGGGCACTGTATACCCGGAGCAAAAACCACTCCACTTGCGAGGGGTAAAAAGTTTCTCCAATGTGCATTGAATCATGAAACTTTTTTGCGCGATTTTGCAAATGAATGAACGCATTTATTCCTCACAAGCTCCACCAAGGCCTTTCAGTTGCGAAATTAGGGCAGTGTATATAAATCACTTGTTTTATCATCGTGCCCACAAATACTCATAGAAAGAACCACCTGCCTTAGTGGGTACTCCTAGCCTTACAAAGTAATGCGGCAAGTACTGTATATCCCAGTTTGCCTGGAGTGGTACTTGTTTCGCTCAACATTATAAGATCCGAAAACAATCCCAAGGGAAACGGAGAGTTATTGTCCTCTGTACAGGAAGTAGAAAAAATGGTGTTTGTGGTCAATTTCCAGTACCCACTGCAGTGGCGGAAGGTGGGTAACCTTGATCGGGTCTTCCGCGCTCAGCCTTAAGTGAATTAAATTTAACAGTCTAAAGAAGAGGGAAAGTATGATTGGTGACCTTTGTGCGTGGACAGGTAGCCCGAGGCACCAACTTCTCTTCAGGACTTAAGACGGTAACTGTGTGTGTGTGTGTAGGACTGAAGGAAGCCAGGTGGTGGATGGATGGTGTTGGTGAGGTATGCTGCTGTTTGCCTCCACACCTGGGTTTCTAACTAACTTTCCTAGTTTGACTTGATTCTCTATTTATTCTTACATTGATTTACTTCAGAACATCCTTTATTATTCATTTTGTCGTAATTTTTGGGGGGATAATGATTAAACTGAACACACTTACAAACACCTACCAATGGTCTCCTAACTAAGCCTGTTACGCCGCTAGCCCAGATTTAG